CTCTCTCCCTCTCCCTCTCCCTCTCCCTCTCTCTCTTTCCCCCTTCCTCGCTCCCTCCCCCTCTTTGGCCCTCTCCCTTGCTTGTGTGTGTATTCACTCTCTCTCTCCAAAATTTAAAAAAAAAAAAAAAAAATGAGGATGGGAGCACCTGGTTAGCTCAGTAGGTTAAGCATCCAACTCTTGATTCATGGTTCATGAGATCAAGCCCCGCATTGGTCTGTCTGCTGTTAGCACAGTTTGCTTCAGATCCTCTGTCCCCTGCCCCTTGGCCCCTCCCCTGCTTGTGCTGTCTCTCTCTCAAAAAATAAACATTAAAAAAAAAAAAATGAGGATGAGGTGCCATCCACATGGTAATGGAACAGATAAAGGTTTTTCTGCATTGTGGTAGCATTGCAACCTAGGTTTCCCCTGGTGCTGTTAATTTCAGGTCTGCTTAAGAGCAAAGGCAATCTGAGGGGTTAGTCCAGAGGCTCATCCGTCATGGCTGTCCCAGAGGACCCCAGGTTCTTTCCAATCCCCAAGGAGTGGGGAAAAAAGTAGGGGGAATGTAGGGTAAAGGTTGAGTAATGGTCAAGGCTCTTTCTAGAAACCCTGACTCTGCTGGTACTGACCCAGGAATGCTAATGGGCATGATTGACTTGAGTATACACAAGGAGTGAAGAATGTGATGAGGGGAGGAACTCTGTGGACCGGTGAGGAATCTGCTTGTAGCTGGCTGGCTGGAAACTGTGGTCCACACAAAAGCACAGAGAAGGAGAGGCAAGGCTGTGGAATTATATTTTATGAGCTGGTTCTCACTAGTAATATCCCCTTTTCCAGCCTTGCCAGAACCTAAGGTTTATGTATAACTCTTCTGGCTTTTTAGAGGCAGGACGATTCTTAACCAGCTCTTGTTTCATACCAGTTGATGAGGTTTTCCTTGGTTTAGCCTCTGCCAAATTTGGAGTAGATTATAGGAGTTTGGGCTGGCAAAAGAATATTAGGATTATCATGGAATAAACCAGGGAAGATGATGAGAGACCACAGGATTTAGGAAGACTAAGCTAAAACATAGACTCGGGAAGATGAGGATCAAAGTGGAACAAAAATACGTCCCCTTCATTTCACACCTGTGGTTATGTAGAGAGAAGGAGGTCTGAAGAGTCATTATCCTATTTGGGATTTCGTGTAACTGGCTCCCTTTTTGAGGGAATATACTACTTTACAAAAGATACGGTTGATTTCCTGAAATTCAAGTTTGATTGTCTTTAACTAGATGAAAAGACATGTGATCCTTAAAAAGTAAAATGTTAATCTATTTTAGGCACTGTAGTGAATAACAAAAAAAATCCCTATACTTGTGGAGCCTACATTTTGGTGGGAGAGACGTAAAAGACAAAATAAATAAGATATATAACATGCCATAACAGGGTAAGTCCTTTAGAGAAAAGTAAGGTAAGGATTATAAGTGTGTGTTAGGGGTGTGGGGGTTGGCTACAGTTTTGAATAGAGTGTTCAGGTGATTTCTCACCAATAGAGTGGTCAGAAGGTGATGAGTCAAAAGACCCGAAAGCAGGAGTGCTGAAGCAGACTATTTGGAAATCTAGACGAAGGGCATTCCAGGCAGAAGGAAGAGCACAGACAAAGGTTCTGAGGTAGGAGTTTGAGATATGTTTGAGGAAATGGAGGGAAGCCAACATGACGAGCAGAATGAAAGGTGGTGAAAATCGTAGATACTGGGGACTTCACTGTAAACACTTTGGTTTCACTGTGACTTGGGAGATCATTTGAGGTAAGCCTTGGGAGGATAAACTGGGGGGTTTTGAGCAGAAGAGGGACTTGACCTGCCCTGCCCTGTGTTTTAACAGGACCGCTTTGGCTGTGTTGAGAATAGACCATGGAGGAACAAGAGCAGAAGCAGGGGGACTAATGGGACTTTTCAGGAACCCAAGTGAGAGGTGGTGGTGGCTTGGCCCTGAGTGTGACTTATATGGCATTAGTGAGACATACTCAAATTCTCAGTATGTTTTGAAGAACCAATAGGATTTGTTGACAGAGCAGGTGTGAGGTGTGTGAGAAAGAGCAGTCAAGCATGACTTCATGGGTTTTGACCTGGGAGGGGCTGGGAAAGGAGCAGTCTGAGGGGAGGGGAGGCGGCGGAAAATAAAAATTCTGTTTTCAACATGGAAAATTTGAGACATCCAAATAGAGATGTCGACGTGCAGTAAAATATATGGGTCTGGAGTTAAAGAGAGCTAGAGATGTGGGAATTAGCGCACAGGTGGTGTTGAAAGCTGTGGACTGAATGAGAACAGCAAGAGGCAGGGCGAAGACACCCCGGACTGAGCCCTGGGGACTCCAGTGTTCACAGGTCAGAGACAGGAGGGAGCAGCAGCAGCAGAGTCTGAGAAGGAGGAGCCAGTGAGGCTGGAGGAAAAACGAGGAGAGTCCTGGAAGCCAAACGAGGGAAGTAAAAAGTCCGGGGTGGGGGTGGGGGGGAGAGTGACCAAATCTGCTGATGAGGATGGGAAATTGGATTTCGAGGTGTGGAGGAGACCTTGACAAGAGAAGGCTCAGCTGAACGGTGGGCTCCAAAACTAGGGAGGATTGAAAACAGGATGGGAGAAAAGGGACTGGATACATAGCATTTAGATAACACTTTCCATTTTTTTTTTTTTTTTCTGAACACAAATGCAGAGCAAGAGGTTATTATGGATTAGGATGAAGAGAGGTTTTGTTTGCCTTGTTTTTTGTTTTTGTGTATAGTTAGTGTTAAGATGGCAGGAATTGCCCCTGCCCCACCAGCTGGGTAAGATTGTAGGGATGGCGGGCAGAGCTGGTTCCAGGCCCATGCTCTGCCTGCCTGGGAGCCCTACCAGAATATCCTGTCTTCCTCGGTAAGAGCTGTGGCAACATGCTGTTGTTGGATGGTGTCATCCAGTGTACAGAGGAAGGAGTTCTCCTACCAGGAGATGGCAGCCAGCCTGCGCCTCCCCTGCAGCCATCCCAGCCCATGCCAGGTGCTGACCATTGCGTGTGGGGATGGGGGTGCCCTGCAGGCTGTGGTGAAGCGTTCCTCTGGGGAGTCCGTGGTCCGGTGTGAGATTGACGAGGATGTCATTCAGGTCTCTAAGAAGTTCCTGCTGGGCCTGGCTGTGGGCTCCTCCAGTGCCAAGCTGACCCTATACATGGGCGACGGTTTTGAGTTCATGGAACAGAACCAGGGCACCTTCAATGTTATCCTCACAGACTCCTCAGACCCCATAGGCCCTGCCAAGAGTCTCTTCAAGGAATCCTATTACCTGGACCTCATCGAGGAGATGTGGCAGTTCTGTAGGTCGCTCTTCCCTTTGGTGGCCTATGCTTACTGCATTGTCCCCACCTTCCCCAGTGGCCAGGCAGTCGTCATGCTGGGCAGCAAAAATCTGAGCACCAACTTCTGGAAGCCCGTGCAGCAGCTGACACAGAAGCAGGTAGAACAGATGCAGCTGAAATACTACAACTGGGATGTGCACCAGGCAGCGTTTGTCCTGCCCGAGTGTGCTGCCGAGACCCAGGATGATGTAAGCTGAGCCCAGGTGCCACTGCCCAGGACGTTGGGCCAGGGAGCCTTCAGGACTCCTGGGCATGACCAAACCCTTTTGCCCTGCCTGTGTGCCCACCAAGCAAGTGTTACAAGCCCCAGAATGCTGCCCGATGGGCCCGGCTGGGCGGACGGTCTCTCAATGTGGTGTTCGGCCTCCAGGCTTATACCAGCTGTGTATAGCCAAAAACAAACAAAAAACCACAGGAATTACTGTTTGTAAGGTGATGGGAATAATCCAGTAGGGAGAGAAAACCTGATGATGCAGGAGTGAGAAGGAAAAATTTGTGGAATGACATCCTTGAGAAGGCAAGAAAGGAATGGAATCTGGTCCATAAGTGGAGAGGTTGGACACCCTTCATGGCCGTAGAGACCATTTATTCTTATAAAAACACCATATGGGGACCCAGGTGGAATTAGTTCAGTAGTTTTGCTAGTAGGATCTTGTTGCTTTTTCTTGATTGCTTCTTGTTTACCTGTGAAATGAGAAGCAAGACATTAGCTAAGATTGCGGAAGGAAGAGAGGAAGAGACCTGGAGAGAGAGGAGAAGGTGTGACACAGTCATCGGAGAGTGAATGTTCTGGGAAATGTAGTATAATTTCCTGGCAGCACTGAGAGCCCACTTGAGGTTCCTGGTCATGATGAGTGCGTGCTTTTCCCATTCAAGTCCAGCTTTGGGGAACAGGTGTACAGTAGGCAACGAGTTTGATTTCACCAACTTGGGGGTTTCTCCCAAGTCAGTTCAGTGAAGCAAGACAAGGCTAAGAGAGTTTCAGGGTGCTTGCAAGGGAGCAGAGGACCAGGGACAGGAGCAGGGTGAGACAATAGGATCAGGAGAGTTAGACCTTAGTGGGGCTTGATAATTTTTGCAGTTGGGGTATTGGAGAGAGTAAACTGGAAAAATAGGAAGTGTTGGTTGGAGAATCCAATCTTTCTCACTGAGGAAGGAATTACAATAACAGTACAGACAAGGTCTGAGATATGAGCATTGGAATGAGGGGCTGGGGCAATGTGGAGTTGCAAGGACAGGGTGGTGGAAGGATCACATGTGCATGTGGAAATCCCCAAGAATTATGTCAGGAGAGATGTCTTGGAGAGGTTAACAGTGAGGCAGGGCTTAAATCTTTAAGGAATGATGGGTAGTGTCTCAGGAATGAGTAGATGGCTGCCAAATGAGATGACCAGAGGTAGGAGAGCAATCTGAAGAGGGGCAGGCTAAAAACCAAGAAACAGATGGAAGTGGTGAGTAGCTTTAGGAATTCAGTCATATCAGGATTTCTCACCCTCAGCACCAAATTTTGGGCTGGATTTCTCTGTGTTGTGGGAGCTGTCCTGTGCATTGTAGGCATTGTAGGGTGTTTAGCAGCATCCCTGGCCTCTACCCATGAGATGCCGGGGTTCTTTACCCACCTGTGACAACCAAATATGCCCAGACATTGTTAAATGTCCCTGGGGGCAAAATTGCCCTCATTTAAGAACCAGTGAGTTAGATGAATATTGAAAAAGCATTAGGGTCCCTGGTGTCCTTCCCTAAAGCTCTTTCTACGGAGTGCTGGGGATGCCATTCTAATCCAGATTAGAGCAGATTATGCAATGAGCAGGAGAAAAAACAAAGTGCCTCTCTTTCTAGGAGTTTGACCGTGAAGGGCTGGAGAATGAGAGCACAGTAAGCGGAGGAGACTCTGGAGAACCAGAGATGGTTTCCTTCTGTGGGTCAGATGGAGCCATAAACAGATTTAAATATTGATGAGAAGGATCCATGTGAGGGGAACAACTGACCTAGAGAAAAGAGCGGTCTGAAATGGGCTGTGGAATGGTTTGTAGATGTGGAGGAGTCAACGTTAGATCAGAGGAGCAGCATCTCCAAAGATCCAGGAGCAGCAGGTGGATGCTGCTGGTTTATGATTTGTTGGAGAGAAGCAGAGGGAGTTCTCATCCAACAGCTTCCATTTTCAGCTGCTGAGAGTGAAGAGAACAGTGAGTGCAGGGGCGGAGGTGGGGGGGAGTTGGCACGTTGAACCAGTTGTGAAATGGGAGACCAAGCTGGCTTGGAAAACCTAGGAAAAGTTCTAGGATGTCTGGGGAGTGGCAAGGGCCTGTGTGGGGCTAGCGACCTGAATTTACAACTAAACCAACCTGTGCTGCTGTGCTTTCTCTAGCATCACTCAGACACCACGAAAGCAGGTAGCAGGATTCAGCCCAAGTTAGGGCTTTGCTAGATGGTTGTGATGGAAAGAGCAGAATATTGGCAAGAGTGCTATTAAAATGATGAGCTGGGAAATGTAACTATACAAAAGGAGGGGAGGGAAAGAAATACAAATCTGCAGATTGGTTAGAAAATGTCACAGGGCCTCTGAGGTCATTGTGCAATTAGGACAGGATGTTAGTGGTGGTCAGAAAGGGGGATTCCTGAGTAAGTGATTCTGGAAAGGCAATTTGTCAAGTAATAACAAGGTCTAGGTTGGGACCTTGGAAGTTAGTGCATGAAAGGGAGAACATCATTGGTGATAAGAAGTCAAGTTACTAAGGGGTCAAGGTGGCCCAGTCATGTCTGTGGATGCAGATGTCCTTCTGGATGAGGGAAAACTTGGAATGGAGAGGGAAATGTGAGCCAGGGGCCAGATTTTCTGTGGGCCGGGAGCGTCAGCTGGCAGGTAGGAGACGATAGGCTCTAGGAAACTCTGGGGTCATACTCTGCTTGCAGGGACCTAAGGGGAACTATTTTCATCCCAAGAACATTGAGGACTAATGGTCTGGAAGCAACATATAGAATGAGGTGAATGTCAACCTTACTTTCTTGCCCCGAGTGTGAAAGGTATAAAAGAATAATCAGAGCCAGCTCCCCATACGTCTGCATATTTTTGTTTGCAGGCTTTGTTTCAGAGTGATTGATCAAGTTTTATTTCAAGGTGGGTTCCCACCTTCATCCCCTCCCAAACCCCCCCCCCCCCCCAATCCAGACGTCATTTTGGTTATTTCTAGCCTAAATGGCCCTGAGGCAAATGAATTGATGCTGGGGCTATTGAGAGAGATTATAGTTTATTTTATGGGCTGTCCAGAGTCTTTCTGGCTAATCCCAGAAATCCAACTGAAGTACCAAGATCTGCCTCAAGCTCACAAGATCTTCTGGATCTGGAAGACTGGGAATAAGGCAGGACCCTTCTGCTCAAGCATTTCTTTACTTGGATTTGTGCTCTTGTATCTTCTACAAAGAAATAGGATGGCTTTGCCTTGTACCTTTTGGCACTAAGTTCACCAAAATAAAAAAGAAAAGGAACTAAACCAAAACAGGAAACCAAACAAAGGAAGGGTGATTTGGCAAAAGGAACTCTCAAAAGAAGAAAGGAGACCAAAGATAGGCTAGTAAGAACTGCTCAGTTGGCCCATTTGCTATGGCAGCGATTCACATGGCATTTCAACTTTGAAAGCATTTTGTACATTTAAGAGCAAAAGGTGAGGGAATATGTACTTTGCCTGAATATGGAGGGAAGGGGATGTACTCTTTTGCTTTATGTGGCTGATTCCAAAGCTACATTTGTTGATTTGTTAGGATTGGAAGGTAGGAACAAGAATAGGCAGCAGTCCAGCATACAAAGTCTCAGTCAAAAATCTTTCTGGCTCACTTCTTTGGAATGCAGAATGTATTTTCCCAGAGAAACAGTCATAAATGGTGATTGGACTTCTGGGTCCAGCCAGCCAGACTAGCTAAAGCCAGTTTAACTCAGAGTGCTAACAAAACTGTCATCCCATAATAATAGTTCGCTGAAACACTCCAGTCTTATTTTTTCCACTGTTATTAAAATTTTAGAATAAACCTCAAGTCCAGAGTGAGTGCATGAGTGGAACCTTGTGGAAAAAAAATGCTTAGCATGATGAGTGGAAGAGAGGATTGGTTTTGAGTTATTTAGATTCTGAAGCAGTGTTCTGTCCAGAATTTGAGGAAGACAGTGTAATGGTATGAGATAACAGACAAGAGCTTATCAGCTTCCATATTCCTTTTGTCTTTTCTGCTAGTGAAGGTGAACTTTAGATTGAAAGGTTCAAGTCCTGGGAAGGAGCTGTAGAAGTCCATGCTAGAGGTGCCTGGGTGGCTGTCTGTTGAGTGTCTGACTTTGGCTCAGGTCATGATCTCACTGTTCCTGAGTTTGGGCCCCATCTCGGACTCTGTGCTGACAACTTGGAGCCTGGAGCCTGCTTCAGATTCTGTCTCTCTGTCTCTCTAAAAAATAAATAAACATTAAAAAAAAAAAAAAAAAAAAGAAGTCCTTGGGGCACCTGGGTGGCTCAGTCAGTTGAGCATCTGGCTTCGGCTCAGGTCATGATCTCACGGTTCGTGGGTTCGAGCCCCGCATCGGGCTCTGTGCTGACAGCTCGGAGCCTGGAGCCTGCTTCGGATTCTGTGTCTACCTCTCTCTCTGCTCCTCCCCTGCTCATGCGCTCGCGCTCTCTCTCTCTCTCTCTCCTTCAAAAATAAATAAAAACATTAAAAAAAAAGTCCATATTGCGTGAGACTGTTGTAGGAAGGTATATCATTATTCCAAATGAGTTTAAATTTCTTAGCTAGAAAAATTATATATCAACCAGGGTATTGAAAGAGCAGGTGAATTCGCTCATGGAATCACAGTTGCTAATGGAGGTGATATGAGGGCTGGGGCAATTACCAGAATAATAGAGGGACAAATGTGACAGTTTTCCAGAAGGGGTAGTGTTAGGGTAGAAGTTGGACATAAACTAAATTCTGATAAATGGAGACATTGACACCGGAGTATTACTCTCCAGGAATATCACAAGATGAGATTTTTAAGTGGGTGGTTTGTGAATGTTAGAAAAAGGAAAGGTCATCAGGAGCCAGTGCAAGTTCAATATAAATAAGTCATGTCAGAGCACATTACCTTTTTTTTTTTTTAATGAGGGTGATTATAATGGTAGAAGAGGAGAAAGCCACAGACATGTTTGTGTTTTTTAGAAATTGGAGTATAGTTGACACATTTTTGTGTGTTTTGAGTTTAGCAAATGGTGTGAACAAAATTGAATTTAAATACAGAATGAAGAAATGTGGACCTAGTGAGAGTATACTTATCTGGGCAATTGATCTTGGTACCAAGACTGTGGAACAATGGCTGGAAATCAATTTCTAGAGGAGACAAAAATCAATATGAATTAAAGTAACAGCCTGCTCCTGATTCACAAATATGTGCTGCCTAAGTACAAATCATAAGAGCTGAAGCTAATGACTGATTATGTGAAAAGACTAGGTGTTTGGCTAATTAAATCTTAGTATGAATCAAGCATGTAATAACAATGTCAAAAAGTTTATGCAAGTTTAGGTTGTATTTGCACCTTTGTGTCCAAAACAAAGAAAGTACTAGGCTTCTCCCATTCAGTATTGGTAAAGCCACTTGGGCCCTCCATTTTAAGGAGGGGAGGCCATGTTGATTGGGGAAAAACAAGTGGTAGATCCTGACACTTAGGCAAAGAAGGACGTCAAGTTTAAATATTTGATAATAGCAATTGGTGGATGGAGTTGCAAAATATAGTATTAAGACCTATGAATCGGAGGTATAGATAGGCAGACATTTCATTTTAGTGGAAAGATGTTTAATTCTTCAGAGGAGTTTAAATATAGACAGACTGGATAACAGTCTAGGCAGATGATGTATGCTTTAACCAGGATGTATCAGTGGGGATGGGAAGGAAGAACATACATGTTTTATGTGTAGCAGGACTTGGTAGCTGATGGCAAGCAGGGAATGACAGAAAGACAGGATGTTTCTGGGAATATAACACCCTAGTAAGTGACTCACTGATGAATCTGAGTTGCTTTTGTTTTATTCCCCCCCCTTCTTTCAACCTATTGTCATCATCAGCCAAATTTCCTCCTTGTAACAGTGTTCATTCTACTGTTTTTTTCCCTATTTTCAGAAAGCCTCCACTGAAATGCCTTGTGAATTCTTGCCCCACGCAGTATCCCATTTGAAATTCAGTGATCTATCCATTATCTGGGGAAATGTCAACATTAATTTGACAAAAACAGGCATGAGGAAAGCAGGGAGCCCTGGGCATTCTGAACAAAGATGTAATATCAGTATTTACCATGGAACTCATTTGAGTATACGTCATCTAGAAGCATGCCACGATAATGGCCAGAAAAGCCCACAGAAGCAAAAGAATCAAGTTAAAGTTGAGAGTCTGCTGGTAAATAACCTGACTGCCATGACCTAAAAAACAGCACTAATGGAAGAAGTTGTAATAAAAATTTAAAGAGAAACACAGAACTTGGCAGAAATGTATACACAGAATGGATTCACAGGATTCCTGAAAATTGAAAAGGAGAGAGATCTGTAGGATTTCAACTATAGCTATCCCTCCCCCTGTACCCCAAACCCCCATATTTTGAATTTGTAATTAGTTTGAAAGGCTTAAGGGCTCTGGAAAGATCATTTAAAATCCCTTTATTTCTGAAGTCCTACTAGCTAATTGCAATTTTCCTTGTTTTGACAAATTAATAATAAAAAAGTGCATCTTTACTGTAAGTCTCAAATGTATTCCTTAAATCTGTCTCTGGTTAAAAAAAAACAAAAACCTGTAAGATAGGTTTTTAATCAAAAAAAAATTCTAATGGCCCCTTCAAAAGGAAAATGCATTTACAGTTCCTTCTCCCAAGGCACTTTTTGAAATGTAGATTAATGTGACCTGATAGATTGTAATAACGACCAAAGAGCATTTTCATTAATTATAATGAGCAAACCAATAATATAGATCTTTACAGTGTTAGTATGAATTAGAATATATCAAGACGATACTTGCAGCTGGAGTAAAATTTGACTGCTAAGTCCAAATCCCTTAAAATAAAAACACATAATGAAAATTTTGACAGATTATTCAGTGATGCTAATGGTATCACCACCATTTCATGATTTTTAACACAGTCTTAAGTGTTTTTAAAAAGTAAATACACTGTCTTGTGACATAAGTAGTAAGAAGTTTGAAGAAGAGAAAAGTGAATGAGAGGAGGTACTTCTGAGACTTTGAAAAGTGTTTTTCTTTTTTTTTTTTTCCTTTTTTCTTTTTTGTTAGAGTCATTTCTAAAGGTCCCCTCCCCCCCAGGAAGTTGAGCATGAGGTAGAATTCGAGGGATTTAGAAGCCCTCTTCAGGTTCTGCTCTCAGTCCCCTATGGGCTTTTTCTTTTAGGACCTCAGTCTCCTTATGTGAAAAAGCAGAAAAATCAGCAGATTTCCTCACTGGGGTGTTGTTCAGTGACTGCATGCACAGTGATTGAAAAGCATTTTAGCTATCTTAAAAGCATATTCATAAAATAATAATATAGTGAGAAGCCTTATCTAAGATTTATAGATGCTTATAGCCGGCAATACAGATTGCGGGCACCGGGATAGCCAACCTTCAGATGACCACAGCCCCACATTGCTCACCCCAGCTGTACCCCTTCCTGTTTCCTTTCAACTAAAATCGGATGGTGTTGGCATCAGAAATTGGTTCTGTTCTCCGTAGAAGAGCACACGGGCATTTGTGACTCAGTGCTTCCGAGAAAGAAGTTACAGGCATTAGATATCTACCAAGTTTTCAGTGGGTTGAGAATTAATCCTACTCAGCAATATTGTAAAATACCAACAGTACAGTCTTATCAATAAATAAATATGTTGGGCACTTACTAACACTTGCTAATAGGATTTTCAATTGAACTAGAAATAAGAGCTATTTAAATTATGCACTATTTTGAATAAACCGCTATCAGCTTCACTAAATTTTGCCGTGAAATTTTCATGTATTCATTCATTCAATATTTATTAATCAAAGTGCTTTGAGGAATACCAAGCAGTATATCTCAACGTTTCCCCTCAAGGCCGGAGTGGGTATATTGTTGCCTCTGGCCCCTGCACAGTGTCTTTGTATCTGACAAATGTTAGTCCTGCAACCACTGCTGGTTAGTTGGTTGAAGGAGAGAATATCAGGCAGTGTGCAGTGTTTGGTGACTTCCAAAGGCACGCACAGCAAAAATGCTGGAGGAGTTCGGTTAGGATGGCAGTCCTCAGCTCTGTTGTGCATCAGAACTCCCCAGAGAGCTCTTTGGAAAAGTGAAGGTCCAAGCTGACCTTTATGTGCTAATATTGCTCTTGATTAAAACCTGAATGTGTTTAAATAAAGTTTATGAAGGTGACTCTAATGTACAGCTAGTTTTAAGAGCCATTTTCTTTGAAAAATTTGTAATTAAAATTTTTTCTTTTAATTCTTTTAATGTTTTTTTTTTTTTCAACGTTTATTTATTTTTGGGACAGAGGGAGACAGAGCATGAACGGGGGAGGGGCAGAGAGAGAGGGAGACACAGAATCGGAAACAGGCTCCAGGCTCTGAGCCATCAGCCCAGAGCCTGACACGGGGCTCGAACTCACGGACCGCGAGATCGTGACCTGGCTGAAGTCGGACGCCCAACCGACTGTGCCACCCAGGCGCCCCAATGTTTGTTTATTTTTGAGAGAGAAAGAGTGCAAGCAAGGGAGGGACAGAGAGAGAGATACACAGCATCCCAAGCAGGCTCCAGGCTCAGAGCTGTCCGCACAGAGCCCGATATGGGGCTCGAACTCACAAACAGACTATGACCTGAGCTGAAGTCGGATGCTTAACTGACTGAGCCACCCAGGCGCCCCTAGGTTTGTAATTTTAAAGGAGGTGGTGGTATATAGCTCAACCTTGAAGGGTACATTTCACTAGGTACCGAAACCTGTACTGAAAGGTATACCAATCCAGAAAACAGAATCAGTAGTATATATATATATACATAGGTACACACAGGTGCACACACGTTCAAATGTGTATGTATAGTTGTATGTATCTGTACATACACAGAGATTTAATAAACAGATGTATTTATTTTTAAACTCTTTTGAGAAAGAGAAAGCACAAGTGGGGGAGGGGCAGAGGGTGGGGAGCAGAGCATCTGAAGCAGGCTCTGTGCTGACAGCAGAGAGCCTAATGCGGGGCTCGAACTCACGAACTGCAAGATCATGACCTGAGCCAGACGCCTAACCAACTGAGCCACTCAGGCACCCTTGATTTATTAAACAGAGTTAGTTGAAGGAATTGGTTTATGCAGCTGTGGGGTATAATCCACAGAGCATGCTGGCAGGAAGGGCAGG